GGACAGGACACCACCCTGTGGTACCACCGGTTTAATTTTACGTGGCTTGCTGGTTTTGTCTCTGAAAATTACTGACGAATGTCGACCACTCAGGTAATTCGCCACCACCGTTTGAGTCCCTGTGGGAGAGAGGAGGCCTCTGTCTTCTATCAGCGTTGAATGACTGACAGTGCCGAACGCTTTGTTCTTCACAGGGGCGGTTTCGGTTAACCCATTAGTGCATGAAGTTCCCTGGCGATATACTTACCTTTTTTTTTATCATTATGCATTGAAATAAGTCTAATAAAGTAGTTTTAATTCGATTTATTAAAAAAAATGTGTTTTGGGGGTTTTGGGGACCGTCCCTTATAAGGGACACTATGCAGTATGGGCATTTGAAGTGTGATATTGCTTGAAGCATTCTTTCGGATGAAGCCCTTTCTCGCACTTAGTACATACAAAGTTAGACTTCTTTCCGCAATAGGCACATCTCTTATCCGTATTCGAGTACTCAATCATATGGTTTTTTCCATCGTAGCGCGCATCAGGGTTGATGCTGGTTCTACTCGATCCTCTTGAGGACGCCATTCCGTATCTCTCTAGATACGAATTGGCTATGTACCTGCGAAAAATTAGCAGAGTGCCACAATTTGGGTCGTTCGGATGAACTTTCCGCATAAGGATCCATGCGTTTACGATCGATGCGTCCAACAAATATGCAAATAAGGGCCACCACCACTTACGCTGTCTAATTCTAGACCGGTACACAGCCACCATCTGGTCCATTTTATCAACGCCTCCCATGCCTTGATTATAGCGCTGAAGAAGTTTCGGCTGTGGTATCTATATCGCACCTTGCCCTCTCGCGTAGCGCTTGCACGTCCCGATATCGATGGTATCAAAGTTGGAGCCAATGGTGACCACATTATTATCTTTCCATCTTACAACGAGAATCTTGCCATCGTCAGTAAAACGAAAATCGCTGGATCCTCGCTGCTCCTTTTTTCATGGCGGCTATTGGACGAAGAGGACACTTCTCTATGCGACCGTCTCTAATTGTACCAGATGTACAAATCCCCATACTGGCCAAATTGCGCAACAGTTTCACGGACGTAAAATAGTTGTCGATGAAAAGCTATAATCTAATTATATTATTATTGTAATATCATATGACGCACTTTTCATTTCTTACCTTGAATCCCTTATGGTGTGGTACATTTGCTTTCGTGAGGAGATCAACCACTTTGTCACCTCCTACTCCATATCCTTGTGGGACGCTCTCTGCATTTTTGCCCATATACACATCGAACTGAAGCATATATCCATCGCTGGAATTCAGAGCCCAGTTTTTGAATCCAAATCGAATGGGCTTACCACGGATATATTGTTTAGCATAGTGCCTACCATAATACGGTATCATGCTCTCATCAATGGAGAGATTCTGGTCCATTCCACCATGCTTTAGAAACGCCTCGTTCAGGTGAGTAATTAGTGGCCTAATTTTGTAAAGCCGATCGGTACCGGTTGCGTGTTGTCATTCAGATGGAAATTATTTAGAATTTTCTCAAATCGATTCAGCCTCATGCTGTTCGCTAGCAATCTTGGCGAATCAGATTTCTCCGACCAATACAAACGTTTGTTGGGGTATTTTGCGTACCCCGACATCAAAATACCGCCAATAAAAACTCTCGCCTCGTCCATAGTCATTCTCAGGTCAACATTTTTCTGAAGAACATATAAATTTGTCTGCTCAACACAAAAATTTATAATGCCTTCAGAAAAAAAATAGCTCAAAGAAATCAGTAGGCGAACTGGCGGCTTGAGCTTCGGCACTCGGCGGTATTGTTTCGCATTCCGTTTGAATGTCGTACTCCGGGTCCACTTTTCGCCAACGCAAGGCATTTCCCGCACGCACACTCGAACTGACGGTTTTTCTGTATTTAGCCAGTGGCTCATCGTCTCTGTCACTCCAGTCATCGAATTCGTCTTGGATCTCGCCTTCCGCAGTCAATAATTTCGGGCCGAGATGATCCAAGTTCGCCTCGTGTTTGTCATCACTACCGTCTGAATCCTGGTCGGTCTCATTTTCCTCCAATGGTGGGATTGCAAAAATGTTAAGTTCTTGCAACTGACCATCAAAAGCTTCGATCTCTTCCAGTATTTCAGCTACTGTTAGTTTGTAATAAAATATTATTGTTGTAATAAAATATTATTGTTAACTGTCCTGTCTGCATGCGTCTCTTATAAGGGACGTCGGATAAATAACGGTATTATTCACAAATTACAATATTTTTATCACTCACAACAACTTAAATTTGTTTATTACAATAAATTTAAGATAATTGCATTAAAAATTGTTAAATAATTTCACCTGTATTTATTTGTTATTCACATTTACTTACCTCCCACGTGTTCTGATATTTTTTTTTAGTTGTTGTTCCATATTTCGCAAAAAAAATCACACAATTTAAAGTTTACTGCACTGCAATCAGTCACAAACTGGTTTGGTGTAATGTCAACAACTATACCATCAACTTACATGAGATCTGTATTGCAAAATGGGAGAGTAAGAGAGCAAAAGCTGACCGTCCCTTTAAAGGGACCTTATGCACTAATGGGTTAACCATCCAAAGACATTGAACATGTATATGTTTGCCGAAAAGAAGGACACTCAATAAATGTGCAAGTGGTTTGTTCTATTCATTTACATATTTACAAATGTATATACATATACGTAACATTGTATGTACATACATTATTTCATCACTTGAAGGTATGTGACATGGATTTAAGAATACTTGACTGTAATGCTCGGAACTGCTCACGATGCATCAGTTTGGAGAGCAAGTGCTTTGAAGGTTTTTCTTGACAATATGTACTCCAATGGAGAACGAAATTTTTGGCTTTTAGGTATATTTTACTCAATTTGTATACATACATATGTATATTATTTATGTAGCATAATTTTCCTTTTCAAATGTTTAGGTGACAGTGGATATCTTCAATTACCTTATTTAATGACTCCTATTCCGGGAAACAATCTCTCAGATTCTGAACATAATTACAACAGACATCACCGGAAAGCAAGAAACTGTGTAGAACGCTGCTTTGGAGTGCTGAAATCTAGATTTCGATGCCTGTCAAAAGATAGAGTGCTTATGTATGACCCAGTTTTAGCCGGAAAAATTATAAATGCTTGTATAATTTTGCACAATATCATGATATTAAATAATATAAGGTATGAAATTGAGGATGATGATAACATAAGTTTTGATGAAGAGTTTAATTTAGTTGATGAAATAACTAGTACTCATCATGGTATTGCTGCAAGACAACAAATTGTAAATAACTATTTTAATTACTGAGATTTGTGGTTTGCTCACATTTACATGCATGTACAATGTATGTATTTGTGATGAGCTTATTCAGTTAGTTACATGTTTATCAGTTTTGTTTATTAAGTCTAGCGCCTTATATAACCAGCATCGTATAAATCCACATTTCATACTTTGTACAAAAATTAAAAAAAAACTAAAGAGATTTACCAATTTCCCAAAATATTTAAAAATTTTCCTTGATGTTAAATATTTTTTTGTTGACGGTGCCAGGTATTTTCTTCTATATAATAGTCGTTTCGAACATACTTTACGTGGAAGAAAATACCTAGCACCGTCAGCAAAAATAACAATATTAAAAATTCTAGCGTTTTGAAACTTGCTATCTGTCCTACTAAATTCAATGGTCTAAAACAATTTAATTTGAATTCAATTTTTACAAATTTTGTACAAAGTGTGAAATGTGGGTTTATACTATGCTTGTTATATAATCCGCTAGACTTTTATAAAAAAATAAACATTATAAACAATATAAAAACCGTCAAAACTGGTCAAAATGCAACTAACTTAATTAGCTGACCACTAGGGTACATCCTTTAATTTAAGCATTTATTATTATTATTATTTTTTAAATAATTCAATTAACGCTTACTCAAATTTAAAAACACAATTGCGTATTCGTTTATTTTCTTTATATTAAGTATTTTCTATATATGCATATTTCTGTCCAAAATTCAATAAATTCAATAAAATTAAGACGCTGTTCTACAGCTTGAAATACTTAACCTACAACTTAAATACCTAATTTATTTACATTAATAATAAATGAAAAATTAAAACGCTGTTCTACAACATGTACACTTACGCTACAGCTTAAATACCTAATTTATTTACATTAGCAATAAGTAAAAACAATAAAACGCTGTTCTACAGCTTGAAAACTTAACCTACAGCTTAAATATCTAATTAATTTAAATTAATCATAAATAAAAACAATAAAATTCTGTTCCACAGCTTGAAAACTTAACCTAAAGCTTAAATACCAAATTTATTTACATAAGTAAAAAACAACGCGCTGTTCTACAGCGTATGTACATACCTCTATCTCAAAGTGGTCCACAGGGGCGTCAAATAATTCCACGCTAGTTACAGCGCCGGAACTTCTCTGTAATTAAAAATTATTATATAAATTATAAATATATACATAAGTAATTATGTTCAAACTACAAAAACATGTTGATCGAATTCGAATCTATGGATAGAAATAATTTATAAATGGAAATGTTCTTAACTCACCAGTGGCTCGCTAACTTCTCTTTGACCGACCATTGCCACTGTGGTCATCACGCCAATGATGCGCTCGTCGAGGTTACTGAGATGCTTTTCGGTAATTGGTGAATTTACCCCGCTTCGCTCCATAGCATTTCTCAAATCTTGGGATTTTTGTTTGGCCTTGTTCCTATCATTATTCGAAAACAATTTTAAGAATCTTAGTGCTACTTATGTACATTTTCAAAACATATTTACCTCATATTTACCCACGCCCTCTTCCATCCTTCACCATCTTTTATGGATCCTCCGCAAGCATTTAATTTTTCGGCGAGGTGGTTCCACTGCTCAGCTAAACTTTTGCTCCCAGTGCCATTGACGAATCTTAAAAAAGAAAAAACTTAAACAAAATCATTTACGGGAAGATGTTTTGCATACCTGTCGTGAGCGAATTCTCTATGATCCTCCAAATATTGAACGAGCATATATTTTTGATCCTTCGTCACTCTTTTGCTATTGCGGTTTTCCATATTTTGCTATTAATTAAACAATTTCTTTAATATAAAAGAGTATTTTTAACAAAAAAAAATATAAGCATTACCTTTTTTGTCTCGTTATTTTTTAGCACCAATTTTTTCTAGTCGCCAAATTCCCAGAATTTTAAGCCAACAATGGAGAT